GTTGTCAAGTCAATTCTGACTTATGGAGACCTTTTCCAAGGTTTTCTAGGTAGAAAATACCCAGAAGTGGTTTGCCATTCCCTTCTTTTTGGTGCATCCTGGGTCTGTGCAGCTTTCCCAAGGTCACGCAGGCTGGCTCTACTCATATGAAGCCCCATGGGGGATTGATCTCCCAACCTGGCTAGCCAGGATACCTAAATCATTGAGCTATCCATCCAGGTTCTTATACATAAAAAAATATGCTTCCTAAAAATCACCATACATGATGGTATCTGGGCTGTTTCTCTGGGATGGGACATGGATACACTGTTATACAGTGACTGATTCTTCCTGGAGTGGAAAACACAGAGAGTAGTGCTGGGAGACTTCTGTTCAACACCTTGGCCGTTGACCTGTGGTGTCCCACAAGGTTCTGTTTTGTCTCCTAAGCCATTTAACATCTAGATGAAACCACTGGAAGAGGTTGTCTGGAGTTTTGGGGTTCAGTGTCACCAGTATGCAGATGATACCCAACTCTGTCTCACCTTTCCATCTAAATCAAAGGAAGCTGTTGCAGTTCTAGATCAGTATCTGGTGTCAGTATTGGACTGCATGAGAGTAAATAAACTGAAATTTAATCCAGAGAAAACAGAGATGCTTCTGATCAGTTGAAAGGCAGATCAAGGAATAGGGATCAGCCTGTGCTGGCTGGGTAGTGTACCCCCATCCAGCACAGGCTAAATCCCTATTCCCTGAAAACACAGTTGTGCAGTTTGGGGATGCTCTTGAATTGTGAGCCTGGATGCCCAGGTTTCCCCTGTTATAGCAACTCCACTGGCTGCTGATCCGTTTCCAATTCAAAGTGCTGCTTTTAAACTATGAATCCCTAAACAGGTTGGGTCCAAGCTATCTGAAAGACTACATCTCCCTCTGTGAGCCTGCCAGGGCATTAAAATCATCAGAGGAGGCCTTTCTCTCAGTCCTACCACTCTCACAGGTGTGCTTGGAGTGGATGTGGGAGAAGGCTTTCTCTGTTGCTGCTCCCAGACTCAGGAACTGCCTCCCATGGGAAGCCAGGCTGGCCTCACCTTGGTAGTCCTTTTGCAAGCAGGCAAAGATTTTTCTCTTGAGGCAGACTTTTTCTTAGTGACTGGATGTCTGAGAGGGAATTTTGAATGGATTGTTATGTTGCTTTTAAATGTGTTTTTAGTATTGGTTTTAATTACCATTTTTAAAATACTTGTTTAATTCTTTTTAAATATTTGTCTACTTATTGTTTTTCACTTTTAAATATTGCCCTCTTAATGATGCAAACTACCTTGGGTTCTTGGGTGGGGTAAAACATTTAAAATAAATAAATAATAAAAAAATTCAAACTTAAAAATCTCAAAGTCATTCCAGTTTTTTAAACAACTGGATTGTTTTTTTACTAAATCTTCAAGAATTTATAGATGTTTATCACTGTCTTGAATCACAACATTCACATTTAGAACCATGTGTTCTAGTGGATCCAGTAGTAACACTTCAGCTCATGTTAACATATTGTAATTGCTTTTACTGTATGATTTTTTAAAAATTCTCCATAGAAACCATCTGAGGAACACAGTATATATGAAAAGGAAAGAATTGTTCATGCCAAGCAGATAATAAAACCATTCATCTTGAGAAGAGTGAAGGAAGAGGTATGTCTGTATTTTCAGACTATGCCAGCTACTTTCGTCTTCAGTATAAATAACAAACAGCTAGGCTAATTTTCTCTTTATGGTATTGAGTTCAGATAAGTATATAAGTATATAGTATGGCTTCAGTGTAATCTCCAAATAATTGCTTTGCTCTCCAGGTTCTCAAGCAACTTCCTCCCAAAAAGGATATTGTTGAGTGGTGCAATATGTCTGAAAAACAAGAACAACTATACCAAGATCTCTTCAGCAGTTTAAAGAAAACTATTGACAGTCAAGGTATGCAAGGGTTTAAATATTCCCTCCAGCTGTTTCATCTTGTGGTACAGAGCAGAAATGCCAAGGTCTATTGGATTTACCGGTGTATAATTGTTGTAAAGAAACAGAGCAGCAGTAACGATAGAATTTACTGAATTGATTTTTATTTGGTATTACAGTGGTGCTTTGACTTACGACCATAAACCATAACTCGAAATGGTGTTAAGTCGAAGCACCATTTCCCATTGTAATGCACTGGAATTTGATTAATCCGTTCCAGCAGAAAAACCCCACACAAACACAAAAAAAGCACACAGCAAGCCCTGTCAGAAGGCACTGGGGCTTAAAAAAAATTAAGCACACAGCGAGCTCCGTTGCTGGGGCTAATATA